TATTAATCTGTCCGTTTAAATTGTTTGTGCTTCATCAACTAATGTTTCACATAACTAATGTGCCGCATCATAAATATTTTTATATTAATTTCAAACTTTTAAAAATGGAAAATTAAAAACTATTAATTTATTGTAAATGACCTCTCGCGGCCCACCTGCAGTACCTTCGCGGCCCACACTTTGGGAATCACTGTCTTAAGGTATGCAAAAGTTCCTACACCAAGAATCCCTGAGATTTTGCTCTGTATATCTGCAGAAATGTGATCGAGATGTGATAGTAATTTATGTCCCTTAACTCAGTGTTTTTCAACCTTTTTTGCGCCAAGGCACACTTAAGACACTCTCACGGCACACCAACAACTGGAAATGATATGAAAATCAATCCCAAACATAGTTTCAGCATGAGCATAATATACTCTAAGAAAACAGGGAAACGCGTGTTCTATTTATTGTGTTTTACTTAACATCATCCTAATGCCAAGATGGCACAGGCTTTATGCCCAGGTATCTCTTAAGCCTGATTCATGCTTCTGCGTTTTCAGAGCGACGCAGACGCAAGCCCCCCTTGCATGTCCCTTGCGTCGCTTTTTTACACCTCTTTGCGTCCTTGCGCGTGTCGAGCCATTTTTCTAGGCTTGCGTCAGCAACACAAGCCTCCCGCAGGGCACCAGGCTGCGATTGGTCCGCTAACTACGTTCTTTACGGAGTCTCACATTTCCGCTTTCATAGCCCGAGACTATGGAATGCCGTTTTAGTCAAAATTAAATAAATGAATAAATACATAAAAACATGAAATATAGATTTGAAATACATCATGAAATAAATAAATGAGGCAATAAATACATAAATATTATATACATTCAATTATTTCATGGTACTTTTATTTCATAATGCCACTTTTCATTTCTTGGTACTTTTATTTCATAATGCCACTTTTATTTCATAATGCCGTTTTACATTTCACGTTCTTATATGCAAATTAGGGGGCGTGGCTACATCTAACATTCAGAACAGACAACAGAGCCGTGTGCAAAAGAAGGCTGGCTAAGGGACGTGAGTGTTGACATAATGGAAGACATCGGTGGGTTCCGAGCTGGCATGCTAGCATTAGCAGATCAAATCTGCCCATGAACCATTTCCTGAATCAGTCACGTCGTACGGCTGGTTTGCGAGGCTTTGAACGTCACCACATAAGTCATCAACACAAGCCTCGATACGCGCTTCATAAAAATCTTCCTGGATTACTCGACACAAGGTTCTAAGCCTCAACACGAACGTCGCATCACTACTTAAACCTGTTATTCGGCCACCCTTAAACCAAGTTCACAAGTAAAAACGGTGCCGTGCAATCCTTGATGGTCCTAATGGATGGAGTGGATGGTTGGTGAATGGCCACCATGTCCCAACAAGGCTGAGACGTCATCAAGGAGGTGGTAGAGTCATGTTTTGGGCCAGAATCATGGGGAGAGAGCTGGTAGGTCCCTTCAGAGTCCCTGACAGTGTGAAAGTATGTAGAGTTTCTGACTACTTTCTTCTGTGGTACAAAAAGAAGAACCGTGCCTTCTGTAGCAAAGTCATATTCATGCTGCAAAGAATACCTCTGGGGCATTGGCTGCTATGGGCGTACACTGTAAAATTAATTAGTTGACCTTACTTAAAAAAAAAAGTAATGTTAAGATTAGTGAGTTAGAAAAGCTTTTTTATTTTAAGTGTGCAGTACTAAATCAAGTAGTACAACAAAAAAAATTCATGTAACTTAATAACCATGCTAAGTGTTAAGTTAATTTTTTTATTTTTCCTAATAATACACCACAACAATATACTTTAAAAGAACACTCACTGTACACATCATTTACAGATCTAGGCTGAACAATAAACATTTGATTCCAATTTTCCAATATAAAGTTTGTTTTATTACTCATGTACCTTACAATAATCAATAAAATTACTGTTCTCCATTCTCTTGTCATATTCAATGTATTTTAAAACTAATTGTAAAATTGCTCATAGTGTGATCTATGTTAGGCTATTGTAATAACAGTGCATTAAATATATTATTCAGCCTCAAGTGTTCTGTTCCCAAGTATCACTTTCTTGTACATTCAAATACAAAACAGCAGCTAAATAACAAACTTGTGGTTTGATTGGACTGTGTACATGACATGGACTAATTCTACGCATGTAACAGTCTCACAATATTAAACAGGTAAACACCTGATAACTACAGGACTTCAGTGCATGAAAATTTCCATTTCTGATAAACTGAAAGTACAACAAATGCTTTTGTGTCCCAAAGCGAGCATCAGTACAAGGTTTAAACAAGGTTAAAAACATCACTCCTTGGGGTTTGTATTTGTACTACATTACAACTATTAAAAGTTTTCCAAAAACACAAATATAACCAGGTCAACCTTGCTAGGTTCACTATTGACAACATTATCTAACAACTCTTTGTAACACAACGTGGCACTATTTCCACCATTAGCATACCAGCATAACATGGTACAGACTTGAATGGATTTTATTTTTTAATTGTGATCGTAAACAAGCCAGCTCAGTTGCAAGCGACTGGATAGGCTGGTGAAGAAGGCTGGCTCTGTGGTTGGTGCTGAACTGGAGTGCATCACTTCAGTCGCCGACAAAAGGACCCTCACCAAACTGCTCACCATCATGGACAATGAAAACCATCCTCTCCACAGCACTATCAGTCGACAGAAGAGTCTGATCAGCAGGAGACTGCGCTCGCTGCCATGTAGGACAGATAGACTGTATAAATCATTCATCCCCAGAGCCATACAACTGTACAATAACACAACCCGCCAACCAAAGGTTCTAGTGAGCCATGTTTACTGGCTTACTGTTAGCCTTTGCACAGCCCCCCCCTCCGACTACTGGCTATGTTGGCCCTTTGCACAACCCCCTCCTTTTTTTGCACAAGCCCCCACCCCTCCCTCTCTCCACTCCCAGCCTGAACTCTTAATGTGTGTTTTAACTTTATTTTTTCTTTGATAAACCCTTTTTAATAGTTTTACTGCATGTGTATATAATGTTTGTATATTGTCAGGAACTACCTGGATCTTGAATTTCCCCTCGGGGATCAATAAAGTACTTCTATTCTATTCTATCAAACTTTATCTGATAAAAGGAGAACATTATTATAACTTGCAAATTGTTGACAGCTGATGGCTCTTTACTAGTCTAATCCAGGAGACTGTTCTTCAGAGTTGACCGTTTTGGAGGGAAGTTTTTCTTTCCCAGTCCAAGCATTACAGTCTGGATGAAGTTGAGTGTATTTGCCATGCATTCTGGGTAATCCAAATGCAAAGCATATTTAAAGCCCAAATAACAGACCAACTGCCTGAGGCAAGTTTTTAATACAATCCATGACGATACCTACCTCCAGAATGATGGTAGTGGAGATGGGCTGAAGGTCCACTGAATTTGGACCCTCGCAGAGCTGCCAACTTTTCAAAAAACCTTGGAGTGAGATTTTGTCGGGGGTGACCAAAATTTTGCCGCGCACGCAGCCACACACGTTGGTGGCTCAAATATCAGGAAATTGGAATTCATTTGGCGTAGTACCCATGTTGTACGCTGCATTCTGGTGGTTTGTGGGGCCCAAAGTCGTTGATAGGGGCGGCCTACTGGAGATGGACAACATTGGTTACATTCTGTGAAGCAAAGACATAGCTGATGGTCCACCCCCAGGACATTTTGGTTTAAGTAGATGTTATTTCATGCATTCTCGTGGATTTTTGGGTGGTCTGCCTCAACTTATTCTGATTTATGTTCATCTGCTCATGACTTGTTGGGCCTTCTAGACTTGAGCTGAACATTCAACCAGAAAACTATTGCTGTGCCTCAATGACCGTCTATGTACCACAATATAGCCTAATTAATAGACCTGCGTTTAAGATTTGACCAAATAGGTTGATTGACATTTTGATTACAATGGTATTCAACTAATTCTTAACTGAAACCTAACCTATATTGTTAATAATTGTATTCTTAAGAGCACTTAATGATTTATGTTCAGCAAAAAATGACACAAGTTTAGTTAGGGAAAAATATTTTTCATTATCAAACAAAAAAGTGCAACAAATAAAGTGCTTAAAGTGCTTAAACAGTAGCCTTTCAAAGCAAAACAATGGATACACATAATATAAATACACATAAATAAAATAACAAAAAATGAGGTATTAAGAAGGAGATCAGAAGCTGGTTAGTATTTTTTTAAGATTTGTGGGCAAGGTTGTACTGGCCTGTGGCCTTCTTGGAGGCCTTGATGACCGCTGAGGGGGGCTCCCATCTGAAGCAGGGCTCCAGGTCGGCCATCTTTATGGCCATGATGGAGGACAGGGTGCCATCCAGTGCCAGGCTATTTCTGGTTTTTGTTTTATTCAGTCCCACAACTGAAAACACCCTCTCAGCATCAGCATTTGAATGTGGCAACACCAGGACCAGCTTGGCGACGGCAGCAAGCCTCTGAAATTCTTTGGCTCCTGTCACCTATTGAAAATGAACCAAGAACAAAATGGAAAAGCATACCATATTTTGTTTTGATTAATACTGTAAGTATACTGTAACAAACTTCAGATACAACATGCATAGATTGCATCATGTATGACACAATATATGCATTCATCAATAAAAGCAACAGATGTAGTCAAGCCACACCTGCCAAAAAACAAATACAAAAAAAAATGTATACCTTATGTTTCCGGGTTGCCATTCCAGCCCAGAAGCGTTTCTTCCTGAAGGGAGGTTGTTGGCATTGTCTGATAATTTAAAAACTCCTCACCCAGGTGGTCATGCTCCTCTGGCCCATGGTATGGGAGGAGATGGGGGAACCTATTTATGAAAGTAGAGTTACAGGTTGTTTAGTTATAGGTATATTGTCATTAACCAGCAGCAGTTCATATACATCTTTAAGGAAAAGCTATAAAAGGATAAATCATGTGCAGTTTAGGAGTGAACATACCTCATCATAAGCATTTTAGCTAAGATGGTAGACAATAATTAAAGAAAAAAACTAACCTTTCAACAAAGAAAAGGACATCTTCAATGCCACTTTCAGCCCTCTGCCGCACATCTACAAATTTTGAGTGTTTGATCACTGGCTCTTCCAGTGGCAGCTTCCTAAGTGCATAGCCCACAGCACTTGTGAAGAAACTTAACACAGCTTCATGGAATGAATCCACCTGCCGTGGTGTGAGGTCACCCTCATCCAGATATCTGGTAAGTTTAGCCCTGGTTGTGAACCCAATGTTCAACTTTTTCCCTGTACAGATACAGCATATCAGGTTAACATAAATGGTTTAACATACTGATGCAGCAATATCAGCTTGACGCATAGGGCAAGAAATCCAACCAGAAGCTCATTGTTGGGAGGACTACCACAAACCTTAGGTTTCTACTCATGAAGTGGCAAAAGGCTAGGTACAAGGCTAAATATCACATTTTATCTATAACATATCACAGTGTATGATCATAATAATAGTCAAACACTAACCTGGCAAATGGTTTGCCTTCTCTTCATAGGCAATTGCACAAGGCTCCTCATGGCCTTGCAGAGCTGCTGGAACCATACATTTTGAACACAGCTTGCGTACAAATTTCACCATCTATGACCAACATTTACAGAAATAGTATTAGATCCCTGCAGATATCAGCAAGAAACACAGAAGGGAAAAACAGCAAGATCCAAACCCACCTCATCATGTAACAAATATATGGCTGACTGCTGTCTCTGGAGAAGCAAGTTGAAGTCAGTGAAGGTTGGTACGGTGGCTTGGTAGAAGAGCAGGTACACTTCTGTCATGGGGTCAGTAAACTCCTGCACAAGCCTCTTGAATCTGGCCTGATTTTCATCTTGAATCAATTAATAAATAACACAAAACAAGAGGTTGTCAATAAGTATGTGACTAACAATCCATGTAGTTGCTGCATAATGAAATTGAAAATTGATGACCATACTTGCAGATTTGAAGTAGCTCGCGAGAGGTTCGTAAAGCCTCAGAATTCGTGTCACGCAACGTTCAAGGCTTAGCCAACGAACTGAGCTGTGCAGGAGGACCTCCATGTATTCAGCTTCATGCAGCTCACAAAACTCTGTTTCAAACATTTAATTCCATATCATATCTTTTCTTAAGCTCTGCATTTCAATATTACACTTAATAGTATCAAACATGCATACCTGTCAGGTATCCTTTACGATTTGTGCTACCTTTGAACCAGTAGCCGAGGTCCACTACCATGTCCTCCAAATCAAAACCAGACACCTGCAATGCATTAATCAAATCATAACATTCAGTCAATGCATGTAATTAGGATACAAATATGAAGTTACATGTAGAGATAAATCAGGCCTTAACTCACTTTAAAAAATCCCCCTCCTGCAGCTTTGGCAGTGTTGTGTGCCACATGACAGGGACAGCCATGAATGTAGGTGTTGGGGTGTTTCTGGAGCACCCTAGAGGCGATTGAATTTCGTGGTCCAATGTTGACAGCTGCATTGTCCACTGAGAGAGCCACGCAGTTCTCCCAAGGGATACAATGCTCCTCTAGGGTGGAGTTAATTTTGGCGAAGATCTCGCTTGCTGTTCCACATGCCTTCCCACTTGTTGTACACATGCCCAAAAATCGGTGGACAACTTTGCCTCCCATGAAGACCCGGACAGTGAGCGGGTTCATCTTTTGCGCTCCTATAATGACGAGTTAGAATTATACCAATGTACATGTTGTTCGATGTTTACACAAAGAAAATGTTTTGCAGAAGAGATAAATAGTTTGGGATATACCTGTGTCATTTGACCCATCCGTAACAAGGGTGTATGGGCCGTTTTTGAGCTCTTTCACAAGCTCTAGGGTGAAATAAGGCGCCAGCGCTTCATTAATGATGCAGGATGATTTAGTCCTGGCACACCTGTAGTCCTGCGCCGTCTTAGAATCTCCAAAACAATCTTTAAGGAGAGGCCCCAGGTGGTCTGCAAAGGCTAGAGGAACATTATGGACCACCAACCCAGCTGTCATTTTTACCTCAGCCCTTCTTGTCTGTAAGAAAATAAAAATGATTAGTCTTCCCAAAAGACCATAGTTTATTTCAAATGGACACCTGTGATAATAGGGCACAGGTAAAAAACACATTCAGCAACTAAGATCTCAAATTAAGAAAATTGGACTGTAATACACTGAAATACAAACCACAAATTAGTCAAAACTATCAACCATGAATTTACCGTATTCAACTAGGACACAAAACTCTTGACTGAACCTTGACAGGACTATTACACACATCATACCTTAACCTCTTGTGCAGACATCCCTCCAACAGGGGGAACGGGCATTGTGTATTGTGATATTGTGGCTGTGGACTGAAGAGCTCGTTCCTTTTCTTGGTGGCCTTTAGTTTTTATGTGGCGCACTACATCGGTCACACCCTGGTGGCAACATGAGTTCTCAACACGGCACACTGCACACCAGTAGTGCGTGTTGAGGCTCCCTCTTGTAATAAAGGGCCACGTAGAGGTCCACTCATTTTGAAAGAGGGTTCTATATGTTGCTGCTCCTGCCAGAGCACGCCTCTTCTGGCCCTGTTGTTGGATTAGGGGAGTCTCTTCTGTCTGTCCCTCTGTGTCTTCTTCCATCTGCACTGTTGGTTGGTCTATTTGCACTGTTGGTTGGTCTATTTGTCCTGTCTGTTGCTCTTCTGCATGTGCTTCTATCGCTCCTGTCTGTTGCTCCTCTACTTGTTTGTCAGTTTGTCCTGTCTGTTGCTCTCTCTGTCCCGTCTCCGGCTCTCTCTGTCCTGTGTGTTGCTCCTCTGTCTGTTGCCCTGTTGTTTCTATCATTTGGTCTGACTGTTCTGGCTGTTCTGACAGTGTGTTTGTCTGTCTTTTCTGACTTGGCTGGTTCTTTAAATAATATAACAGACTTCCCTTTTGTCCTGGGCCTGGCAAAGGTCTTTTACGAGACATCTTTGCTCCCTTAAAGAATTAAAATGGTTTTTAATAACTCTACTCTCATTTACAAAAACATGCCTAATTCTATTGCACAAATTTCCTGTCTTTATGTTAAATTCTTTGGAATACATCTTACCTGTTCAAAGTGCTGTTTGGAAAATTCTTGAGAGGGTCTTTTTCTTTGGCCTGTAAATAAAAAGATAAATGCTATGTGAGCAGCCTTAATAAACAATGCTATGATGTTTTGAGCATGCAGTATACCAAGAGGTTAACAAGGTGCTCTCCTGCTGCTTGTTATGACAGCTGAGTTTACATTCACCACTCAAAATCACACGCACAAACACAACAAATAATTTCTTTCAAGATTTAAAGTTTAAGAGAGTGAGTACTTAATTGAACCACATGTCATTAACATACCTTAGTCTTTGCTCCTCCTGAGTTTCTCCCGCGGTTGTGTCTGTTTGAAAATCTTCTTCTGTTGCTAACTTCGGGACTCTTTGGGGTAAATAGGATGTCTATGCAGCGAATGGGTTTACAGATGCGCTCCTTAGCGCCATCTATTGTCGGGGAGTTTGAAAAGGAACGAATGCGCTTCGGCCCAAAATCAGATTTATTTTTTTGCCGTGAGAAATTGGTTGTGTGGCGTGAGTGCGTGTGAAAACATGCAAAAGCGTGTGTCACACGGCGAAACCGTGAGAGTTGGTAGGCCTGCCCTCGTGAGGACCATCTTCACTGACAACTGTCAGCACACAAACAGTGATGCATTCTAGGGCCTCGTCTCTTTCTGTATCCTACACAGACACACACACATTCTTCAGTATTGGCAATTTATGCTCTTCTAAAACATTAATTAACAGAGTTGAAAGCATTTGCTAGAGAATATGGTTTTAAATATGTGTTCACATGGATTTGTCAGGGGTGCGGGGAAGGCAGGGCATCCAGGACAATAGACAATGACGCGACACGTGACACACACCGCTTAAATACACTAGGGAGGCAGGTGATTGGACACAGGTGGAAACAATCAGACAATCACAGGGGATGACAGGACAAGGCAGGAAGTGCAGTTACCCAGGGAGACAAGAAGCAGAAAACTACACAATAAGACAGGAAATAAAACCACACCGTGACAGGATTGTCCAACAAAAAAAAAATTGGTATCACTGCATGAAAAGTGAGATTTTCGTCCCCGTAAACGCCCGGAAAACTCCCTAATTTCCGACAATTTCCGACAATTTGCAACCCGCGCACGTCGCGTTTGTCTGTGCCACAAATTGTCGGAAACGAACCATGACGTAGGGGGAGAGCTGGCGGAGGTGTGAATGGCCCGAATTAGCATATAAATGCAGCGAAACCGCGGGTGGCCGAGCCGAGCGGGCTTGAATATCCTTACTCCTTATTGGATGAAACCACAACTTACTAACAAATAAAATCTACAGCTCAGTAAACTGTCCGTTTGCCTCCTCGGGGTTGTAGACCGTCACTGGCGCCGTGTTTTCCGAGGCAGGTCTGTTGTGCAGGCGCCTCGTGTGTGCGTGTGGCGACCGTACAATCCACCCCGAGACCCCGCCAACAACGGCGTCCCCTCCGTCCGACGTGAGCTCTACGGTGGCGGATTTCCAGAGTTCCACCTCGTCATCAGCCAGCACACTTTGTCTCGATTCCAGCAGCTGTAAAAACAACAATGAATCAGTACTGTGCGATGCGTACGGACACAACACATCGATCAATGCACCTGAAACAAGTCAGCAAATAAACTCTGACCCTCTTTCTTCTCGCTCGACTCCACGCTGAATCCTACGCAGCTTCCGCCCGCAATGAGTGTTGCGCCTGAACCTGAAGCTCCTGCGTCCCGTCTCAAAATACGTCTCACAGGCGGCTGGAAAACAATTAAATGAGTGTGGTATGAATACAAAAAAAATCTAAAGTCACAGTAACATTTAACAAGGAAGGAGAAACAGTGTCACTTACACACAATGACGTCGTCTAAATCTGGACTTTTCCCTGAGCAAATACGAGGTCACCGCCTTATTATGAGGCGAGATTAGTCTGTGAAAACAACATGTACAGTTATGATCGGTATCCATACGTATATATTTCCTTATAGCGCAGAATGAAAGCATATTCTTTAAATCTGACCCTTGCTCCGGTTCGTAGCGCCTGTAGTTCATCTCGGCGTTGTGAAGACGGCGCACCGCTTCCTGTAAACGACACGACAAAGAAAACACACTTTAATAAAGCTGTTTCTGCTCACTTGTAAGGCTACTGGGCTACTCTTAGCTTAGCTTGAGGCTACGCTACTTTTAGCTTAGCTTGCAGTCATCGAACGTATTCTTACCGCTATCTTGGGATTGTCAACCGTCTCCTCTTCTTTGAGTCAGTTCCTCTCCTCCATGGACAGAAACCCGCAGAGTCCCGAACGCTCCAGTGGAGCGAACCGCTCGTTGATATCGGCAGTTTGTTGTTGGAGTTGACGAGACGATCCACTGAGAGCATTCAGCAGCTTCTTCTCGTCTGTCTGCGCACTGGCCGAAAGTTGGTGACCGCGGAGAGGAGTTGAAGGCGAGTTGAACGCGAGACGTCGTCCAGCCATTTTTCACGAAGCAGCAAAAACCAAACAAAGGAACTGGAGATACAATTCTTCTGAATATAGTATGCTCGTCTTGCAAGTACTGCTGTATCAGTCATGCCTATGACCTCACACGTGATTGGACGAGGAGACTAAGGGTCCTCCAATCACATACGAGGTTATTGTTATACAGAAGGACCAGTATTTTAGGAAGACAAATGGTTGGGACTTTGAAACAGCTGATATGCTTTATGTAAAGCAGTGTTTTGGTGTCAGCGGAACGACTTTCCCTAGAAAACTGTACAGTGGTGCCTCTTTCTCCATTCCACCAGACAATCTTGAGTCTGACAGACATGCAATGTTGACAATGTATCATCAGATGTACCCTTGTGTCACTGAGGTTGAATGTTTTGCCATGACATGTAAACGGGTAACATTTATGAATGTAACTTAATCAATAGATGCAGAGCAGAAAGGTCAGCATATGTTTATGCTAAGTGGTGTGGAAACACTAACAGTTTTGAGGAACCCGTCCTTGACCCTCTAGCAGAACTACGACCAGCCATTATAAAGCAGTTTATAGTTGTGTCAAAGGGTACGGCATTTAAACATGTTCTTGCACAAGTTTCCTGGCTTCATCTCCACCCGGACAGACATTTTTATGGAAAGCCAATAGAAGTTTGGGGCTTGCAGGGAACAGATACGTCATACCCAGCATCATTCACTGCATGAAAAGTGAGATTTTCGTCCCCGTAAACGCCCGGAAATCTCCCTAATTTCCGACAATTTGCAACCCGCGCACGTCGCGTTTGTCTGTGCCACAAATTGTCGGAAACGAACCATGACGTAGGGGGAGAGCTGGCGGAGGTGCGAATGGCCCGAATTAGCATATGAATGCAGCGAAACCGCGGGTGGCCGAGCCGAGCGGGCTTGAATATCCTTACTCCTTATTGGATGAAACCACAACAAATAAAATCACTCGTGATTGGCAGCAAAACCACACGTGGGCAGACCAGGCTTGAGTTTCCTTGTTCATGATTGGATGGATGAAAACAACTTTCAATCACTCGTGATTGGTTGGCAGATCTGTCGCTATTGGTCACCCGCCTCATTTTATTTTATATTTATATATTCATATTATGCTGTATATTCATTTCATTGTTATCATATGTAGGCTACTACACTATTATTAGGATACCAACCAGGACATCAATGAATTTATAGAGAAAATGAACATTTGCCACATGTTTATGCAAAGAAAGAGCTTTATTAACAACACACAAACAACAACTACATACAAAGTGAGGATCTGCCCACACTTGGGTAACGGCGGTTTAAAAACTACAGCTCAGTAAACTGTCAGTTTGCCTCCTCGGGGTTATAGACCGTCACTGGCGCCGTGTTTTCCGAGGCAGGTCTGTTGTGCAACACCGTCCTCTCAGTCCGACGTGAGCTCTACGATGGCGGATTTACAGAGTTCCACCTCGTCATCAGCCAGCGCACTTTGTCTCGATTCCAGCAGCTGTAAAAACAACAATGAATCAGTACTGTGCGATGCGATGCGTATGGACACAACACATCTATCAATGCACCTGAAACAAGTCAGCAAATAAACTGACAGTCTTTCTTCTCGCTCTACTCCGCGCTGAATCCTTCGCAGCTTCCGCCTGAACCTGAAGCTCCTGCGTCCCGTCTCACAATACGTCTCACAGGCGGCTGGAAAACAATTAAATGAGTGTGATATGAATACAAAAAAATCAAACGCAAGTCACAGTAAAATTTAACAAGGAAGGAGAAACAGTAAGAGAGAGCATAAAGGTGGTGGAGCATCCAAGTGGTGTGGAAACTGTGGGCGCCCGACCTCACGGGGTATGCCACGGGGTCTCCGGGGAGAAGAGAGGCGGACGACACGCAGGTTTACGGTGGAATTTAACCAAGGTTTATTATCAACAAAATAAGTGTGAGAAAACGATAACTCAAAAGTTCTTCACCGGGGTGGCCAGGGACGTCCGAGCTTCTGCGGATTCCTCCTGGTGCAGGAGAGAGAATACAAAGGGTTAGTTTCCTTCGCTGTGCAATATCCCTGGGTCTCCCTCTCCTTGCGTTCCGCTTGCTTCCTTCTCCTTTGTGTCTCCTGGGAGGGAGGTTTAAAACAGGCTCCTGATTGCCTGCGAGATTGATAGCACCTGGGATAGTATCGCCCTTCCACTACCATGCCTCTTGGTGCCCCTCTCCTGGCCGTTTCTCGCCATGTGGGGCACTGCTCGTCGGCTGGGCCATCACAAAACACTAACAGTTTTGAGGAACCCGTCCTTGACCCTCTAGCAGAACTACGACCAGCCATTATAAAGCAGTTTATAGTTGTTAATGTTGTGTCAAAGGGTACGGCATTTAAACTTGTTCTTGCACAAGTTTCCTGGCTTCATCTCCACCCGGACAGACATTTTTATGGACAGCCAATCGAAGTTTGGGGCTTGCAGGGAACAGACACGTCGTACCCAGCATCATTTCTGCCAGTTGAGCGCATTGCTACAAGATGTGTGGTTAATACATCCTCTGTGCATTTAAGAAGACCAAAGAAAAGGTCACTGTAGTCAAGTCAAGTCAAGTCATTTTATTTTGTATAGCCCAGAATCGCAAATTACAAATTTGCCTCAGAGGGCTTTACAGTCTGTACACATACGACATCCTCTGCCCCGAAACCCACCATCGGCACAGGAAAAACTCCCCAAAAAATGAAAAAAACCCTTACAAGAGGGAAAAAAGGGAAGAAACCTTAGGGAGAACGTCAGAGGAGGGATCCCACTCCCGGGATGGACAGACTACAATGGATGCCATGTGTACAGAATGAACAATGTATAATACAT